GCAGAACCTAACGCTCCTCCGGCTGGCCAGCTTTACGGAGCCCTTCCGTGTCATGCACGCGGTAGTGTGCGGAGCTAAACTGGTAAATATAAGTACAATAAAATCATATTCAATGCGATCTTCGGCGTGGAAACAACAGGCAACAACATATAAATAAAATATTATTAAAATATTATTATGAAACAATTACCTGTTGTATAGGTAGGTATCAGGAATCCAAATCTGATCATAAGGCACTATCGTTTTGTTAAGCATACCATACTCCCTAGGATCCCAGTCGAGAAACTCGTCAAACCAATTCTAAACTACTAAAGAATTATAGTATCTACTCAGTATCATGAACACACATGATTTAGTGTGGCAACGCGGCCAGTAACTTAGTTTATAAGCTCTTATCAACAAAGTGAGGTATAAATATGGTTGCGGCAGCTAAACGGCGGGTGTGAATGCCAGAACTATTCACCGCAATTTTGTGAAGAGTATGAATAGGCTAACTGGAAGATAAAGTCTAGGTTAAGCACTTTGGAAAGTTGAGTCTTGCAAGCATGGAGAGCACTTGGGTATGGTATAAAAAAGATTAGCTCTGCACAATCCGCAGATAGGGTGTAGATTCCAGCCACATTCATGCACTGTCGAGTTGCTGGTACACCTTTTGAACCGCTAGTGCATGTGCATGGCTCGTACTCAGCGATTCGCAAACTCTGATATCAGCCTGTTGCGGATATACCGCGATTTTTTGGTCTATGACGACAATTTTCGTTGTTTTTTTTTTGATAAATATCTGTGGTTAGGGATTTTCTTGATGCGATGAGTTCTTTGCTTTGTTTCGATGCTTTCAAGCAAATTCTTCTCAACAACCAACGTGCATATGAGATCATTGACGTGCTCTGTGATTCACTTTTTTCTATTCCTTTCGTCAGCGCCAGCTTCATTTCTTTGGCCTTCGTGATAAACGTGAATTGCACCGCGCATGCTTGCATGGCATTTACATATTTCGTGGCAGTTGAACCGCCATCGTGCTTGGTACTTCGTTTAAAGCAGGTTTTTACCCAGAAGAGTTCCTAAACTCTTGTCAGTACAAAAATGTGAGCAGTGCTACCTATGAAACAATTTTGAAGAAAGAAGGCTTCCCCATTGGATTTGATAGCTAAATAAAAAAGTTGAACCTCAACCAAGCATAGACAGATGTTTTACTGGCTCACAAGACAGGACTTTAGGTACAAGCCTGATTCAAGAAGGCAGAATATAGTCGCCAGACTCTAGCCATGCAATGGAATAGGACTCACATAACCTTAATAAAAAAAATTCCAAAATACGTATATATACAAAAGATAAATAAAAAAATTAACACCATTCAATTGAGTAGCGAAACTAATCTTAGGACAATTGATATTAAAGTAGGAAGCCTGTCCAAATGAACCCTGAAGTCTTGCACCCACTCCACAAAAAGCATGAGAAATAGCAATAAAAGTCATAGAACCATAGGATAAAATTCGAAGTATGTCATTCGGATAGGAGCGATCTCTAGGGTCGTTTGAGGGGATTTGTCAGGATGATGAGCAACCATATCGAATGAAAATCAGTAACAATTGTAAGAGGCACACCCCAGAACCAAATTGGTGTGGCTCACGGACATTTAAGTGAAAAATTGGTGTGAAGTGGGCCGGCTGTAAAGAAAAGGGACAAGGATCCGGCGAAACCGCACAGCACAAGCTGTTGGGCTTGACCCCTTTTCGTTTGTAGGACATCCAGAGAGAGATAGTCGCAAGAGAGACAGCTTGCACGGATGAGGAAGTGGAAACCCAACAGCATGTGGCAAGACGAGCAGAACACGCAAGCGGTAATTTTGTTAAAACACTGGCTTTCTAAGAGCATTAATATAAGCTGGCTATTCTGCGACATTACTGAATAGCATCGATTAATTTGTGCTAATGGTTTTAATTACTAGTTTCGAATATATTTGTTTGAAAACGGACCACAAGTATTCTGAGACAGTACTGCTGCTCCCTTCACAACCATGGCATAACAAAATCAAAAAGTGAACACAATAAACGTTGTCAAGCGAGACTAGTGAATCAAAAGATAAATAAGTGAAAACGCATTAATTCAAGATTAACTGGATTATGTTCACAGTTTTATCTACAAAAAATCCGCAAATAACTACACAGACTGCCCACAATCCCACATTCACCGAAACGAATACTTTGCGAGTGATCATTAACCTAAATACGCTAACATTTTACACAAATTTAAAGCAAGAAGACAATTCAGACAGAGCTGATATCATATATATATTCGTACAACCACGACATTTTAGCTTATACCACATGGCCGATTCTAAGGAAATGTACCAACACAGGCTCGGTGTTCTGCTCTAAAATAATAAAACACGGATGAGCCTAGTACCAATAATTATCAATGGGGAAGTAAGAATGATTGGTCAGCACAACGAGACCAAACAACACACATGACCCTGGCACTCATGCCGCCTGTATGGATGGACGCACTGCATTGCCGTTACCAAATACCGCAACAACGCATCGAAATAAGAACTAGCATCATAGAATTTCATAATGTAGAGAATGGCTACAGGAAGCGACAGTATCAACGAAGCAAAATTCAGAATCGTATCGCTCAAGAACATGTCTCGAAATCCACATTTGGACCAAGGGCTACACCTCGACATCGGTGGTGCTAGAATTGTAGAGAAGACTGTTGTTCTTCGCGAAACACTGTTCACTTCAAATACGCATTCAAATCCCACCACTACGTACACTAGCGGTCAAAAGTGTTCGCCGAAACGGTTTTCCGTGCTTCTCTTTTTTTGCCAGAAAAATCAATGGTGACCTCGAAAATTTTTTTCTTTTGAATATCCTGATTCTTCAAGACTTGAGGATATAAAAACACTAGAAAACATAGTATATCAATCTTTGGAGCGTGCTGCTCTAACGAGAAAAAATAATGTTCTGACCGCTACTGTATGCACCATTGTGAACGAAAGACAAGTGCATGGCGCATCTCAAAAGAACATCGCTCAGCATCTTAATGTTTTTGTAAGAAATATTTGAGAAAGAATATATAACTCACTACATCGAGAATCTGGTAGAGGCTCATGCTGACGTTGATGCGAGTTGGTTTCAAATGGTTTATCTGTAAATCATTATATTACGATTTTGTGGATGAATCAAAAGTAGAATCTTCAGCAAGCCCCATGGTAAAACATTTCTGGCCCATTGCTGATAGACAAGGAACCAGCAGAAATCTTTCCCCATAAGTTCAGTGGAGAAGAAATGGAAACTAAATTTTATGTCAGACTAAACAGGGAGGTCAAAAGAAAGTCGCTCCTCCCATGCCGCACATAACCAAACTCATCACAAACGCGCAGGGTGCCGCTGTTGAGGGAAGTTTTGAGGCGAAATATCCCTAGAAGTCCTCTCATATGCAGAAGCAGGTCCTCCTTCACTTCCCTTTCCTCACCGTGCTCAGAATATGTCATCTGCCATCAGTCAAGCTAAAGGGATCCTACCGTAATCGTTTCAGCCTGGAACTGCTGAATATTTTTTCAAACGGTGATTTGTGAATAGCTCTCTAGGGACAGTAGGCCTGACTATGTGAGACCTCTTCCAAACAGCTTCTCGGACAACGTCGTAATGGCCTACGACCCCCATCGGGGACCTCTGTTGAGCTCGTACCGCGCACTATGTTTCCGTGGGAAAATCTTCTGATGTCGTCGGTGTAGAAGGCTGTTATGTAGTTTTTTGATAGAGCAGGGACTGCTCCAATATGCAATTGGGTGCATTCAGTTTGAATTCAGCAAAATGTGAATATTCCGATTTAGATGCGCAGGGAAAGTGACACTTTTTCAACCCCCCCCCCCCCGAAGTGTGATTAGAGCGATGAAAAGTAGACTGCGTTGGAGTCAAAAAGAGAGGCTCAAAAAACACAATGAGTTAAATGTGGTACTAACGAGCCTTTTCAGGAAGTACAACAGATTTCCTCGTCCGAAAAATAGCGGAAAATTTAGGAAATCGGTTTGAAAACAACATTACTGAAAAGCTCTTGTACCAGGCATTGAGGACACTTGAAAAATTTGCAAATAAAAAAGAATTCATACAAATCTTCTTCGAACCGGTTCTATGCAAACCCCACGTGGATGGACGTGTTTCTGTCTCGTAGTTTACTGCATGTCAAGCAGGTCATCGACAAGACGACGTTGATCGTTCATAAATGCGCCCGCATTCAAATTCTCAAAAAATTTCCGTCGTTCCTCCATCAAGTGCGCGAGGAATGTTCGATTCAACGTCGATGCGTTACCATTTTCCTTCTGAAAATTGGCTAAACTCGATCACATATAAGAGAGCACTATGATTTCACCTCAAGCTATGGAAGCTTCATCTTTAGATCGATTAATACAGAATTGATCCGAACTCAGATCAGGTGGAGGTGACACAGCTGCCAAGGACGTTGTTACCACTCGCACGGCACGTGGATCGAATTCCGCACAGGGCAAGGGAGAAGATAGGTCTATTTTGAGGTGGTTGGGTTACTATTGCTTAACTTATGAAAACCGTAATCTGATCATCGACCATTTCTCAGCAATTCTTTGTAGCAGGACTGGTTTGCATTCGAAAATGCCTAACAAATAGGCGAGAAGGTCGTAAGCATGGCGCAACGGAGGTAATTTATTCAAAAGGTTCAAGCGATTACCTAAACTTCTTCGTAATTGTACATGGTATCATCGTCAACTCCCTCGTTTAGCTCAGAACTGTGCCGTCGATTCTCGTCGTACCATCTTTTGTAGCTGAAGGTGGACGTCGACAAGCTAAACATCAACGTATGTCGAATTCTACTTGAATATTCAATTCGAATTAGCCACTTGAATGCTTCTTCCACTCAACTCAAGCGCTAGGTGTTGGGTGTTCCAAATTTCTCATAAATACATTCGTATATGGCAGTATCTATGATAAAGAAATATTATAAACATTAATATGAAATATCTAAACAATGGTTATTTTTGCAAATATATCAAGACTAATGAAACAAATAAAAGGCCAAAAGAAGTAAGATCGAGATTCTTGTCGATTGGTCCTTAATGTCCAGGGGGGGGCCAATAAAAAAGACAATTTTTGCTCTCCAACTCAAATGTTTAATCACTTTTTGCTCAGTTCGAATCAGTGTGCTCCAACATGAGGAGCGATGTTCAGTTTTTCATAAAAGAAAATCCTTCATAGGCCATCTACGTGGACGGCATCAGAAAAGTATGCCCCGGAAACATGGTGCTCTGGTCGAGCTCAATGGGGTTCTCGACGGATCGTGTACCGTTACGACAGGGATTCCAAAGGGCGGGTTCCGGGGGGCGGGGGGGGAGGGGGTTTGCATAGTTAGAGCTAATGTCCCTAGGAAACTATCCCACGTTGAATCGATCCAAGAAATTATGTAAGAGCTTCAGGCTGAAGCAGTTACTGTAGGCCTCCTGAGCTCGACGACGGTGACAGATGACGTCATATTCTGAAGACGGTGAGGGTAGTGAAGGAGGGCCTGCGTGTACTTATAGAGGGACATTAGGGAATATTTGCTGAGGAACTTCCGTCAACGACGGCAATCTCTGCGAAGAAAAAAAGGCCGAAGTGCGACCTGGGCAAAATGTCTTTTTTGCTCCTGTGACAAGAGGGTCACCATGTGACGCTGGTAAATTTAGGTATACGGCACGGACGCCGTTGGACGGTTATTATACGGCCCTCTTTCCACACACAGCAAACCACACTTGTAGTACATCTATATAGCAACAATCTTGGCGGGAAGCGCGTAATGAAAATCGCAACATCTTTGCCTCGCACATACCAGCGCTCTCTACAAAACTTATCATAGGACCTCTGTAAGTAATTACCTCAAGCGGTTAACGCTGCATACAAAAACCTCAATTAGAAAATCAAGCTGTGCACCAATCTGCAGGTATGAAGAATGTGCTAATCGTGGTAAACCGGCAGGTTCGAGTGGATAAAATGTTACAGGCAAGCCTCGAGAGGGAAAGCGTGCAGAAATGGTCACGAAAGAAAAATCGTATAACTTCGTATAATGTATATGATCAAAGCTTTGAGAATACGTAAATGATGAAGCGAACAAAGAGTCCGGCGTTGATTCAATCCCCCACGCAGCGTTCGCACTTCGCTTCTATCAGAATCGTAATTCACATGCTGGTTTATGACAATTTGAGCTGTACAGTAATCGATGACGACTCAAGGAGTTATCTTTCTCAGACAGTCCATAATTCATTACGACCGCCCTCCTGACGAGATAAGTTGGCCTGAATAGCGTATGGTTCAGAGTTTGATCCCCGCACCGCGCGCGTGTTAAGCTATTTATGAAATTTCCCACCGCACCACTTAGCCGAAAAATTAATGTTCATAAGGAATTTTGACTTGTTTTTGTTTGTTAACTGCTGTTTTTGGCCGCAGTTCGCCTTGCGAATGTTTCACAAGAATGCTGGGTTGTGAACAAAACACTTTCGCCCTAGAAGGGATTCCAACCCGCACCCCTCGTTTTCCGGAACTGAATAGCGACACATTTGCGAGGACGAGGTGCGGGTTTCGAATCCTGTCTCATGGCGAAAGTTTTGTTACAACCAGCACTCTTGGTGAATTTGAACACCTGGAGCGTAATATTGGGGTTTGGCCCTCAAGCCAATAGCAATTACATTCTTGTTTTGATGCTCGCGCTGGCAGCGAGTGTTCACCAGTGACCAATGGCAATGGCCTAGCAACTGCTTTTCACGACTCAGTACCTCGCAGAGAGACAGATGAAGGTATAAGTGTATCGTTCGAGGCCTATTATCTTATGCAAGAACTTGCACTTTTTCTTCTTCACGCCAGATTCCGCATCGCTACTCATCTCTCTCGTCACAAGCTATGAAAACCAATCTAACAAAAGTGAACTCTGCTCGCTCGTCTTCACGGGCGAATAATCGTGGCGACGATGAATTCTAATGAGTTTCAGCAGATCGATGCGTCATCTCACGAAAAGAAAAAACGAAATCCGGAAAGGAAAGGAAGAACAAAGAAAACATTGGGAAGTCGTTGAACTGTTGCAGAGTTACGCGACAGGCTTGTTGTGCTAGCAGAGCTTCACTCTTGTGTGTTAACAAAACAGTGGTTTTGCTGAGTAGACATGTCTTCTTCAAATGCAGTCCGAATCCTAAACAGAAGTTGAGTTCGCGGCCCATCCTATATATCAAATACACAATGTTTGGTTATTTGTTAGGCATATTCCAATAAAATCCATTCCTCTATATATATAAAGCGCTAACTTTGTGTGTCGGTTTGTGTATCTGTATGTGTGTGTGTGTGTGTGTGTGTGTGTGTGTGGTGTGTATGTATGTGTGTCCGTCCGCAAAATGAAGTGAGTGAGAAGGAAGCTCATGGGATAAACAAACCGCTAACAAATCGGGTAGCTTACAGGATTTGAGATATCAATGTTTTGTAGCAGGATAGTTGTGATAACACTCTTAGGGCTATATAAACACCTGCTTAGCACACTTCCGTTCATTCCACATGGTGCTGCAGTGGCAGCTGGAGGGCAGTGGAGAGAGGAAGGGAGGATGAGGAAGGGAAGCGAAAAATCTACCGTCATATCATGATTGTGTCCCTTCTACTGTTTGAAACACCATTGTGTTGCATACGCGTCACTTCCAGGAGGTGTTGGTGTCACAGGAGGAAGGGACCATAGCGGAGGATAGAAAGCTTGCGCAGGAAAGGAAGGTCCCGGCGGTTGACGGGGGACTAATCTGGTAGAAAATAAAAGGAATTTACAATACTTCGTTTCTAGTTTTATTCACGTATACACCGACGTTACGAGCATTTAATATAAGCTTGTATTGCATAGAAAGAGAGGGAAACTTTTGGGCCGAAGCCAACCAGCAGAAGCTATCATTTCAAGGCTCGCTAGTCCCAAACTTTTTTTTTTGTCTGATTTATCCGGTAGATCAAGCCTAGCCGATATCAACGTCGGTAAAAAACTCGGTGGTACAGTGCTTGTGTACTCCAGGACAAACCGTAATTGCCGGCATAAGAGGTTATTAAGATGTGGCGGTTACATACAAAAAGACATTCAGTTTTTTAGAGAGATGAGCGGCCTGACAACTAGCGCCCTTCGTGCACTTGTCAGAACCTTTTTCCACCCAAATCTTTTAAACATCTGTAAAGGTTATCTGTGCCCGATTACAAATATGAACATTCGGTTTTTGCATTCAACGTGTTCAGCCGCATATTCATCGTTGGCTGGGCGCAGCAAAAAGTAAAAAAAGGCCCCTAAATAGACGCCAGCGCGAAATGTCATATCGTAATCAGGACACCAATACCTCTATACGGAAGTTTACACCAAATTTGATGAAAACAGGTGTCCTGACAAGGTGGCGCCAACTGTCGCAAAGTGGCGCCAACGCTAAGAATGAAAGTCATTTTCGTAATCAGGGCATCGACTAACCTCTATAGGCCAGTTTAGAGTTAAGATGGTTTATAAGATGCGAAATTACACTGCACGAGCGAAGTTATACGAATGAAATGCTTGAAAATTGCTTCACATGGGCTTTGGTCTATCGGAACTAGGGTGCCTGTGCTTCCCAGATATACTTCACTGTTCATTATGATGTCTCATTGTAGTAGTAGCGGATCTTCCCCTGAACACTTTGACGAAACCTTTTGATTTGATCCTCACATTTCTACCAACAAGTAAGGAAAGGTGGAGAGAAAGTCCTCAAAAAATCTCGACAAGTTTTGTATCCAATTTTATATGTCACAGCAACCTGAATGGTTACATTCATGTTTGTTATGGTTATGTCTGTGTTCTTCATTGAATATTTGTGTGCAGAGATTGGCAAATAATGGCAGTGGTGGGAGATCACCCCTAAGCTCGGAATTTTATATATCGCAGAATCGCTAGCCTCGCGAGACCTGGTCCAGGGTCAGAGACAGAGATTGAATGAACACTTTTTAAAAAAGGAAACTACGTATTCCATTCGTTTTTGTTTGACCGTAGTTGGTAAGCAATACAGATTCGTTCAGAGGAATCACTACTAACTCCTTATACAAACCCGACTGGTAACGTGCAATTCGGGAAAAATCGCTTTGAATGTATTGGCGATCCCCAAGGCATTGATCAGCGTCGTAAAGGTTTTACCTATTAATTATGAAATTGATATCTCACGACTGGCGTCACCTACTAGACCAATCCCATCTCAACGTCCGGCTCTTCATTTTTTTTTCGTTTACCAGGGTTTTGTTCAATGTTCGAAAACAAATCATCAATAATACAGGTATATGTGTTAAAGACAAAACCATAAATAAGGCAAGTTGACATGCGCTCAAAGCTGCTTTTAATAGCGTACACTGCGCAAGCGACTATTTCTTGAGCGTGATTGAACAAAGGTAAGGATTGCAACAATGGATTCAAGCACTTTTCGTGATGTTACGCAGGCGATTACTTTCGTTCAGAAATCGTGGTGGATTATGGGCTGCGGTACAGAATACAATACAAAAGGAACTCGATAAGAGCCAGCGATTGTACAGTCAGCCAGTTTATCGCTCACTGCAAGTATGGTAGTAGTAAACAACGACAGCCCTTTTTGGCGTTTTGCTGCTGGCCGTATGCTGAATGTTGGGAGGAGATGGGGTCCCCGAGCTCGATGGACTACTTGAACTCGGTCGGTACGGTAGGAGAGTGATGACGAAGTGGTGCAGCTAGGTCCAGCAGCTTCCGCCAAAAGGGCTGGGTTTGCTTACTCAGCAGACTAAGCCTTGGAAAGAGACGGACCTGCGGTTCTCTCGTAGGTCCGGCCTCGGCTCTTCATGGCTCGGTCCTGAGGTAAGCGTCAAATTGAGGCGGCTTTAAAGACGAGTTGAAGTAGTCCGTCGACCCCACCCCCTCCCTAACATTCAGCATACGGCCCACGAGAAACGCCAAAACGGGGGGGTTGCTTACTTCGTATGGCACCTGGATGGTCGCCCGATGAAGGGCTTATTACGGGTGAGATTCAATGCGAGATTTGACCCCCGATCAGCGCGCATAGGAAAAGGAGCTTCTTGCCACTAAACTACCTCCGCCCATTGCATGGATATTTATGAGCTTTTAGGGTAACTCGACTTAGAACAGCATTGGCATTCAGTTATCACCTACTCTCTATCTCTAGGGATATTATGGTCCACCATTTCAAACGTCAGATAATGGAATGTAGAAGGTGTTGCTCATTCAGTGCTTGCCGAGAACAACGTGAAAATCTCTGACAAAATGATCAGAGAGACTCAAGAGCTTTCCCAAGGCATCAGGTGAGAAAGGTGAAATTTCCAACCAAAAATGACTGCAACAGGATAACTGAAAGGGAAATGGGAATTAGCGAGTTCGAAACGTATCCAGTCATGCATATAATTTAGCACATTTGAAAAACAACCCAAGTCTCCCTGTAAATCTAAGGTGAAATTCGTGGAATAATCTTTGAAATTGTTAACGCCTATGTACTACTGAAACGAATCTGTTATACAAATGCTTTCCATGTAAACGAAAACGGTTTTAAACACAAGCTTCAATTTTTAGCCATTTACTCTCCATCAGAAATGCCAATTACTGCAGAAGTCGTCTAAAGGCAGCGGTGAGCCATCGATAGTCGATAAAGGAATGGTGTGAGCATAAAAAGTCAACTCGTTTTCAAACTTCGTCAGCTGAAAAAAAACAACGGCTTCTAGAACTTTTGAGAGCACGGTTTCCAAGAAAAAATGAAATGTCAAGAGAGGCATCGGTAAAGCGGGTACAAGATGAGTTCGAGTTCAGGACCAGCGGAAACATGGACCAGGTCGTACCCAAGAACGATCGCCAGGGCTCTGAGCTGTATACGACAGCGATTGCCCAAGTCACCACAATGAATCGCAACTGTGCTGAAGCTACGGGTCAGGAGTCGGAATTGGCAGTACCTCCTTGAGTGAGAAGAGGGGTCCTCGAGCACAGGAGGAGCGACACTGTCGCAAATCAAAAGTATGTACGAGGGAACGGCGCCTAGGCCTTGCTTGTGTGCTGCCGTCTGCCATCCTACGCGCTTTCGTGTACGACGTGCTCTCTCGCGTTTTCCCTCTCCTCGCAGCGCTGTGTCTCTCCGTCATACCACGGCCTCACAAGGGAAATTTAGTGTTTTCTATGGCGCTTTTTGCTTTTTCTTCCGAAACGTTCCTCATCGCATTTCTTGTCTAATGTTTGAACAAAATATCACATCAACTCGATCGCGACCCGTGCCTTTAACTAACAGCAGCTGCAATCCAGCTAAAGGTAATATCTGACGCCTGACAGTTCCGCAACTTGAGTAAGTGTAGCAGCACTCAAAATTATGAAGTGATCACGTTTCATTCCGAAAAAAAAGCGTGGAGGATGAATAAACTTTCGTCGATAAGAGAAGCCAAATATAGCAAAATAAATAATGTCAAACATCAAGCTCAACTGAGCTCAAGCTCATCAAACTTGATGATTCTGCCAGTTCGCGTCCGACATGAGTAGTTAACACTGACGGGAATAACATCCGTGGCAGGGGCCGTCCCATAGGACTGGTCGAAAAGCGAAGTTCATTCGAAGGCAGATGGGTCAATGAAATCAATCGCCTGTTGGAAGTGAGACAAGTGGTAAGCGATAAAATGATGAAGAATGAGCGCAAGGGGTGGGCCAATCGATGATCCTTCAGCAATTCATAGAAATGAACCAAGTCGAACAATATGCACGTGAAAAGTAGTTGAGAGTGGTGCGCGCTTGCGTAGCTTATTAAGTCACGTATTGCATTACGGCCTTACGCCTTTAGAATCAAACCTCAAATCCAGTACAATAGAAGTGTGAGAGTTTGGCAAAAGTTTCGTTATGTGACT